GTGTGCCACCACGCCCAGCTAATTTTTTGTATATTTAGTAGAGACAGGGTTTCTCCCTGTTGGCCAGGCTGGTCTTGAACTCCTGACCTCAAGTGATCCACCGGCCTCAGCCTCCCAAATTGCTGGGATTACAGGCTTGAGCCACTGCGTCCGGCCCAAATGCCCTTATTTTATGTGCTAGTTTAGTGACAGTTTCTGTTCTTGGTAACCAGAAGCATCCCAGCTGAATGGAGAAGGTCTCCACAAGGTTAGGGAGGGCTGCAGTGGTGGTGCAGTTGAGACAGGACGATGCCTGAACTGGGGCTGGGCCCAGGAGGAGAGAGATAGGGAGTCAAACTCACAGGGGAGTTGAAGACTCAATCCTCTTCCCCATATCTCTCTAGGTGGCAAAGATGGTTACAAGCTTCCCTGGACGTGGGACACACCATCAGGAAGGGGCCTGGCTGAGGGGACCCCCACCGCAGGCAAACTAGGACCCACTCTTGGGGCTGGCACCACCAGGAGCCCAGGCAGTCCTCCAACTCCAAGGGTCCATGGAGACACAGGTGACGCACGTGGCTGGGGTCAGGGGACTGGGGCGGTGTGTGTCGTGGGGTAAAGAGACAGATTCCAGACTCCCTGGTGGAACCCTTACCCCAGAAAGACTCAGCAGAAATATATCCTTAAATAAGGGGTTATCGGCTGAGCATGGTGGCTCACGCCTGTAATCACAGCACTTTGGGAGACCGAGTTGGGAGGATTGCTTAAGCTCAGGAGTTTGAGACCAGCCTAGGCAACACGGTGAAGCCCCCAAGATATGAACATTAGCTGGGTGTGGTGGTATGCACCTGTGGTCCCAGCTGCTTGGGAGGCTGAGGCAGGAGGATCCCTTGAGCCTGGGTGCTCCAGGCTGTGGTTGTGCCACTGCATTCCAGCCTGGGTGCCAGAGCGAGACCTTGTCATAAACAAAACAAAACATAACAAAACAAACAGAACCAAGGGGTTATTATCTAGACCACTGGTCACCCACTAGGGTCGATTTTGCCCCCAAGGGGCATTTGACAATATCTGAAGATATTTTGGATTGTCATGGCAGGAAGTGAGAGGTCACCCATGGGCACCTCATCGGTAGAGGCCAGGAATGGTGTTAAACATCCCACAATGCACAGGACATCTCTCCATAACAAAGAACCACCCAGCCCTAAATGACAACAGTATCGAGGCTGAGAAACCCCAGCCTAGATAGTCATAAGTCACTGTGACAAAGAGGAAAATGATAGGAAGCCCTAGATGAGAAAGACGGAAAGATGCAAACAGGTGATTCCCAGAAAGGGAAGCCCAAATGGCTGAGTGTGTTTAGAAATGCCCACGCTCACCAGGAACCAGAAAATACAAATTAAAACAATGGTAAGTACCGAGGAGAATGAGAAGGGTGGGTATTATCAAGTGTGAGTGAGGATGTGGGGAGACAGGCAACCCCATTGGACAGAGCTGTTTGATAAAGACGGTCCAGCAGTATTTAGTAAAGTTAAGCATGATTAGGCCGGGCGCGGTGGCTCACGCCTGTAATCACAGCACTTTGGAAGGCTGAGGTAGGCGGATCACGAGGTCAGGAAATCGAGACCATCCGGGCTAACACGGAAACCCCGTCTCTACTAAATATACAAAAAATTAGCCGGGCGAGGTGGCAGGTGCCTGTAGTCCCAGCTACTTGGGAGGCTGAGGCAGGAGAATGGCGTGAACCCGGGAGGCGGAGGTTGCCGTGAGCCGAGATCGCGCCACTGCACTCCAGCCTGGGCGACAGAGCAAGACTCCGTCTCAAAAAAATAAAAAGAAAAAGAAAAATAAATTTAAAAATTCCATAAATGTATTTTGATTACTAAAATTACCCTTCGGAGCCTCTTTGGTCTCCCTGCCTCCCCCGGCTCCCCACATCGCCCAGTCCCCCGCTGTCTCGGAATCCTCTCGTACGCTGCACGCTTCTGAACACTCCCCCCGCTCCCGCGCCCCAGCATCCCCCGCATCCCTCCCTCACCTCACCCTCCTGCACCCACTCCCTCGACCCGCGTCGGAGGACACCAGGTGGCGCCTGGAGACATCGGAGGAGGCAGGGAGGAGGGGCCCTAGGGCCGGGTGAAGTCTGCCGGTGACCCATGACGTCTCGAGGCTCTGCGCCTCTCCATTGGTCGACTCCTCGAGGGGCGGGGCGGGACGCGTAGTGGGCGGAGCCGGCTGACCTCAGACCGTCCGTCTGTCTTTCCTCCTCCTCCAGGTTCCCCGAGGAAACCCTGGCCCGAGCGCCGGCCACCGCGGCCCGCTGCGACCAGGACAGCGCCCGCAACCCCGTCCCCAGGTCCCTCCGCCTCTCCGGGACCCCCAGGCCCAGCGCTGACCTCTGACTGCAGCCCAGAGCTCACTCCCCACCCAGCCTTGACGCCCGAGGCGACCTCTGACCCTCCGGACACTTCACCACCCACCCCAGACCCGACCTCCCGGACGAACCCCGACCTCATCCTGACAAGCCCTGACTTTGCTTTGTCCACCCCTGACTCCAGTGTGGTTCCAGCGTTGACCCCGGAGCCCTCGCCCACGCCCTTACCCACCTTGCCCAAAGAGCTGACCTCTGACCCTTCTACACCGTTGGAGGTGACCAGCCTTTCCCCTACCTCAGAGCAGATCCCAGAATCTGACACAACCCCAGACTTGGACACAACTCCATACTCCAGTACAGTCTCGGAATATTCCAGATCCCCAGCCCCCTCCCCAAGCCCTCACCCCACTACTATCCCTGATCCCACCATGACCCCTAACCACACCACAACCCCTAACCCTACTGTGACCC